TACATTTCAATTTTGTTGCGAATGAAGCGTGTTCCTTTCCGCTTCGCTCGCAACGTGACACAATGGAACAAAACATGTCAAAAATCTGAGAGGCACTTGGTGAAACAAGGAGATTTGAATAAATACCTTATTCTCCAAAAGGAGATCAAAATGGCTCTACACGGCGGACAATTTGCGTTTGTCCGGAAGTTGCTCCATATTATGCACGTACTGTAATAACAACGTCACTCGATTGAAGCGCATCTCAGCAGCGGATAGTCCGCAGCTCTCTGCTGTGCGCGCGTGAGCGCAAGCACGTACTCACAGCGCCGACGCAACCCACTCCACATATTAAAGAAGCTTTGAACTACGACAACAGCTAAACTAGCCTAGCTGATGTAATGATGGTCAGCAGACAAGGTTTATGTTTTATGTGACTTTTAATAACAACGTGACAGAGTCGTCAAACATGCGGTGTGCTCACTCGCAGTCACTTCCTGGAACTCCCCCTGATAGGCGGGACCTCTCAATCAACTGGAGTATGACGTACAGTACAAACTTTCATAAAGCACTTCTCACATAATAATAGCCTATTATATGACAGCCGACATGACGCTCGAAGTCAGACGGACACGTTTTTTCTGATAATCTGTGTGTTTTCCTTTTTACTCAAATATATACAGTATTATTTATTATGGAGCAGAAACGCAAATTTCCACCCTGTGGGACCATTTTGATGTCCTTTTGGAGAATAAGGTATTTATTCAAATCTCTTTGTCTCACCAAGTGCCTCTCAGATTATTGACATGTCTTGTTCCATTCTAATTCAAATTCATTTCAAGGTAACTCTTAGTTTACTATTCATGTTTTATTGCAGATGAAATGTCGAATTTGCCAGGTCGAATTATCATATGCCAACAAAAGCACCTCCTCCATGCTGAGGCATTATCGGGTCAAGCATGAGAATGAAGTTCCCGACACACCCAGGATAACTCGGGTATATAGCCATTCGCTTATCTTTTCATGGTTGCTTTGTCGATAATTAATCGGCAACTAGTAATTATTATGGGTTTACTCTCCACTTCATGTTTGACAATCAAGCTTCCAGGAAACAGTTGCTCGATCAGCCACTTTTGAACTTCATTGTCAAGGACTCCCAGCCCCTCAGCATTGTGGAGAGTGAAGGGTTCAAGGAACTGATTCAGATCCTTGAAACCTCATGTTTTGTCGACAAAGGTCTGTGTGAAGGTTCCAAGTCTTATATAAGATATATAGATATCTAATAATTGAAATGTATTTGCTTTTGGTTTAATTTTCAGACCATCAAAAAAAATGGTGGCTGACAAATACCAGGAGGACTGGGAAAAAGGGAAAATGGAAGTACAGCAAGCTGTGGCAGTGAGTAGAACTGACGTGGACCTCTGTGAACATGGACGCCTACTTGGCACTCACCTGTCACTACAATAATGCGAATATGCAGTTGTGTTCAACAGTGCTGGGAGTACAATACTTTCCACAGAATCACACAGCTGACAATTTGGCCCAGGTCAAAAGGGACATAATGGAGGACAGGGCCATAACCAACAAAGTAAAGTGTTTTGTGAGTGACGCAGCACCAAACATGATCGCATCCACGAGACACCTCCAAATACGCCACTCAATTTGCATTGCACACAGTATTAATTTGTTAGAAAATCACGCGATCAGGTCCCTGCACTTAAAGACATCAGAAACAAAGCGAGGCAAATTGTCACATTTTTCCGTTCAAGCCCTACAGCCAAGGAGAAGCTTGCTCAGGTGCAGCAACAGATGGGATGTTCAACCCTGAAACTCATCAAAGAGGTGCCAACAGGCTGGAACAGTACCTATGAAATGCTGTCAAGGCTGCATGATGAGAGGGAACCAGTGTGGGTATGTATGGCCTCCTGAAAGACAGATTTGGCTCCACTGACAGCTGATGACTTCACCATCATAAGAGAAGCACTACTAGTGCTTTCTCATTCCATCAAGCTACAGTGGAGTTGTCTGAAGAGAGGAGAGTGTCTGGTTCAAAGGTCATCCCGATGATGAAAATGCTTGATCATGCACTTGAGCGCCACGCTTCAACCTTGCACACACAGGCAGTCATACAACTCCACGAACACCTCAAGCATCAAGTCACAGACACTGCTTCCAGTTTGGAGTCTGAGTGTGTTAACCTTAGCAACACTTCTCGACCCCAGATTCAAATCACTTGGATTCTGCAGTTCCTCCAGGTGCACGGAATCCATATCCAGACTGGTATGTGTGTGTGTGTGTGTGTGTGTGTGTGTGTGTGTGTGTGTGTGTGGGTGTGTGGGTGTGTTGTGTGTCTCATCGGGCGCACAATCGAGGCCCAGCCTGGACCATCATTGCAGGCCTCTGCAACGACATCTGGCATGTTACTCATCATTATTAGTTTGTTTTTGGAAACTGTTCTAAATGCCAATTTGTTGGGTTTTGTTTTTTAGGTGACCTGTGGCAGCATCTGGATGATGAGGTGGGGAGACTGGGAAGAGGCGCAACAGCAGATGCAATATCTGAGGTCCAGCAATACCTGGCAGAGGGAATATTGCATGCAATCAAGACCCGCTTTTGTATTGGAAGGACCAACACACTTCTTCTTTCCCAAACCTCTCCCACCCCGCAAAGGAGTTCCTATGTACGCTCACGTCCCTTGTGAGCGTGTGTTCTCCACAGCAGGGGAAATAGCATGTAAAAAATGCAACAGACTGAAATTTAAAACACTTATTTTTCAAAATAAAAATTTGTGAAGCCAAAGCCCGCAAGCATCCTTATTCACATTATTGAAACACATTGAATGATACAAGATGAATGCATGGATGTGAATATTGTATACACTTCGTCATCAAATCAGTCAGTTCAGTCCGTCAAGTGGGTTGGCTGCAGGGAATTTTGAATTCCACCAGGTGTCAGTGGTCACTGACACAGTATCAACACAGTGTGTCAGTGTCAACACGCTTCATGAGGCCTCATGGACCCATCACTACCGTCACCCTCTGTTCGTGTCCCCCAGCGAGGCACGTGTTGCCCTGTTTCCGCCGAGTCAACCCACTGGGTGACTTTGGGACGTCTGGGATCCGTCTCTTGAGAGAGGGGTACTGTTATGTTTCTGTCTGGTTGCATTTGGTTTTGTTTCATGTGCCCTTTTTGTCACCACCTGTTCTCGTAATCAGTGTCCCTTGTGTTGAACCAACCAGCTCCCTCAACCCTTTGTGTCTTGTCCAGGTGTTTCTCGTTGTCTCGTCACTTTGCTTGTATTTAGTTCCTTGAGTTCTGTCAGTCATTGAGTGTAAGCATACGCGTGTTCCTGTCATGTTTTGTTTCCTGTCAGTTTTGTTTGTTACTTTGGTTCCTTGTGATTTCCAGGCATTTGTTTGAGTACTTTGACTAAGTGTTTTTCCGTTGTACTCCTGTTTGTATTTTTGTTAAATACATTTTGCTCAGCCACCCTGCTCCTCCCTGCGTCCCTGCTTTTTGCGGTCCTCCCAACAACTACCATCATGCAAAACATGACAGAGTGTCATGTTTTGTTTCTGGCTTAGGTTTTTGTTATTTTTGTTTCCTGTGGTTTTCAGGACTTTCTATAATTAAGTTAATTTTTCCCCAATGTACTCCAGTTTCTATTTTTGTTAAATACATCCTGCTCTGTGTGGGTTTTCTCCGGGTACTCTGGTTTCCTCCCACATTACAAAAACATGCATGGCAGGCTGATTGAACACTCTAAACTGTCCCTAGGTGAGTGTTAGCGCGGATGGTTGTTCGTCTCTGTGTGCCCCGCGATTGGCTGGCAACCGCTTCAGGGTGTCCCCCGCTTACTGCCCGAAGACCGCTGGGATAGGCTCCAGCACCCCCGTGACCCTTGTGAGCATGAAGCAGATCGGAAAATGGATGGACATCTTGCTCAGTCCACCCTACTCCTCTCTGCCTCCCTGCTTTTTGGGGTCCTCCACCTACCATTACACAGAACGTGACAGAATGATCCAACCAAGACTGGACCCCGCATGACCAGAGGTGTGGGCCCACTGCCACTCGTCCCCGTTCCGGGGGCGCAAGTGTTACGTCTGCCCTCCGTTCCTGTTTCCAGCGGCACGAGTGTTGCGGCTGCCCTCCATTCCTGTTCCCCCGAGGTGTAAGTGTTCGCCCCCCACCCTCCTCCTCCCGTTTCCGACGAGCTACATCCATTCGACTCATGTAGAATCCACTCATGTCAAGATGGCCCAGCCATGTCAAGACAAGCCATTGGGTGATTTTTTTTTCCTTTTTTTTGGGGGGGGGGGGTTGCGTCTGGGAGCCATCCCTTGAGGGAGGGGTACTGTTAAAGTGGTTCTGTTGGTGACCAGCAAGCGGCACTGTCGGGCTCCTCCTGCAGTGCCACCTGCTGGTCATTGTGTCATTAATTAGTGTTTTCTTAAAAGGACTCCCTGCCGGACCAGTTAGTGTCGGATCATTGTGTGCGCCCCGTCATGTTTTGTTTTTGTCATAGATTATTATTTTTTGTTTGTTTCTTACTCAGGTTTCTTGTGTTTTAGGACTTTGTTCCAGTATTTGAGTTAGTTTCTCCAGTGTACCCTGCAAATGTTTTTTGTTAATACATTTTGTTCAGCCCACCCTGCTCCTCCTGCCTCCCTGCCCTGCCCTCCCTTATTGCCTTATTTATTCATTTCTTTTATGACACCTTAGCGTTCATTATCAGCAACCTGGCATAGACTGCATCATCATTCAGTACAAAAATAAAAACACCAAGTTCAAGGGAGTATCTGATTTATCAAAAATATCAATCAAGTATCACACTTGATCACAAAGCACCCCTCTCTGGTGATTACAGAACTCAGTCATGGCTGAAAAACATTTGCATGCACTCCATACAGGCACAAATCGTCTCCATCTGTGCGTGCACATATTAAACTAATGTACATGATTCAGCACCACAACACACCACATGCAACATTGGAGCAAGGGTTTGCTGAAGACACACTGACCTGATTTTGGGTACGTGACGGCAATGGCGTCATCGCCTTTAAACGTGAATTGCTGCGCAAAATATGTCAGGCTTTCTTGAGAGTGGGTCTCCTTTGGCAACATAAGTCCATGGTGCATAAAATACAACTCCTGTATAGACATTGTGTTTGTCCTTCCGACTACAGAGGGAAGTGTCAGGCGGGTCCGCTGAGACGTTCACGTTCACAAAAATGTGTCAAACTTTATGACTCCGGCGTGTTTCACACAAGATACTTTCGACAGTGTCCAAGCTTTCATATTTACAGTTGCTATCAAAATACTTAAAAAGTCAGTACCACCACCTAAGGTATGAAAAGAGACAACAAAACGACCCCGGATTTTTAAGTATGTACATAATATCCGAGGGTACAGAAAGCAAGCACAGCACTTCCGCCAAATGAATGGAATGTCACATGTCTGCACTTGGAGAGGAAAAATTACTATAACACTGAACTGTGCAAATTTTGTGTGAATTAGAGCGTGTCTATCAGACATAAAACGCGTTCACCTACTACTGAAATTCAAAGTATGTCTTCCTATGACACCGAAGACATGGTGATAATGGTTACAAGGCGCTCTGATGCAGGCCAGAAGTTAACCGAACGGGTTCTCAACTCTATGCAGAAAAATTCCTCACAGTGCTGAAGTCACTTTCCTAACAGTATTAAAAATCAAATAATCAATACTGAGTAACTATATTTTCCCGCATTAGACAAAGAGAAAAGGAAAATTACAGTAGCGGATCGAGATCGACAAAGTATGTGTGTGTGTGTGTGTGTGTGTGAGAGTGTGAGATAGGGACAAAGAGAGAGAGAGCCTGAAGTGGGGTGCATTAAATAGATTCACAGTAGTACCCAGAAGTGTCAAATCAAGGTCCAGAAAAGAAAACCCTGCCACAGTTTGGCTTTCGCCACAGTTGCGAGAGCGAGACAGAGAGAGAGATCGCGTGTGCGTGCGCGCGCGTGTGTGTGTGTGTGTGTGTGTGTGTGTGTGTGTGTGTGTGTGTGTGTGTGTGTGTGTGTGTGCGTGTGCGTGTGCGTGTGTGTGTTAACCTCACTTTTCCCTATTCTGGACTAATGCATGCACTTGTATGCCACTGCCGAAATCCATTGAGCCTGTAACACAGTAACATCCTGCCACTCCCAATATTGAACATACTGTATAGTCGTCCTCATGTTACCTCTTGTAATATAAGGTCTCAACTCAAATTCACAAATTATTCTTCCATGTTCTTCAGATTGAAACTCCAAATCGATAGCTCCGGTAATAGATGTGAAAACAAGCATGATTGGAAAAGTACCTGATTTAGGATATGTCACAGAAAACACATCAGTGTCCTCCACAGAGAAATTTTCAGCATATTCCAAGCTGTCCTCAGAGTGAGCTCCGGGTGGCAGGGCCAGGCCATGATACTTGATGTAGCTGGGCCAGGACATGCTGACTGCAGATGTGTAGGAGGACTGATAAGACATGTCACTCCTCTTTACTTAAGGCTGTCTGTTTAGTAGTTTGTGAGATTATCAGAGTTCCTCCTACTTCGGTGGACAGGGATGAGCCACTTCTCCCCCTTATACTGTACATTTAGATTGACAGCAAAGTTTTGCAGGGATACAGGGATCAATTAAATGTAAACACTGGCTAAAAAAACAAAAACCTTAGTATTTTGAACTAGAATTAACCCTGGTTTTAGAAGGAAACAGAAGGGAAATAAATGAAGAATGAAAGGAGAAAAATGTGAGACCTGGCACACAATTGAAACATGTTTCCTCAAATCCAGGAACCTGGGCTAATGGGCAGCTAGAGTGATTAATAGAGGGTTGAGACTGGGGCTACATCGTTTTCTGACAGGACTATAACCCCCCCACCTGTCTCCATGCCACCCCAGCCCCCAGTGTAGCATTATCCCTGCTCTAATCAGGGAAATCTTTCCCAGGTGAGATGGTTTCAAATGGCCGTCAGGTCAGAGCGAGCATTTTTAACATTTGTGTATGACTTATTACATCAAGTATAATTCTTATGGAAAATGATGGCCATTATTTTGGTCAAGTCCAATTTGGGACCAGGATCTGCAGGCACCCTGAAGTGACAGATACGAGTCCTCTGCTGCCAGATCACACTTGTTCAATTCACACTGGAATGTGCAAGGCATTAGTCAGGCCATTCGTGTTTCCCAGCATTTGCTATTCTTGCATACACAAACCACAGTGTGCCAGCAGAGAAAGCAATGTCTGTTTGCGTATTAGTGAACAGCCATGAGCATTGAGGCCTGCTCAAAATGCAAGCTTTGTGGGCTGCCTGAAGCACCCGCGCTAAGTGGAAAGGAGAGGTACGGGGGGCGGCCACAAAATGACTTCATGAGGTCAACTTGCAGGAGGGAGAGATGTACTGTCTGATTCGTGGTTTGATTTCAGTAGCATTTCATTCTTCAATAATTGTCCATGTATCAATTGTTTAATAACTCCACAAAATGGCAAGCCTGTCAATCTTCACAACAAACTACAAACAAACACCTCAATTATCCAACAGTGCTAAAATGACCCCCCAAAAAATCACGACAAACATTCCCCCCTCCATTTTCTGAGCCGCTTCTCCTCACAAGGGTGACGGGGCGTGCTGGAGCCTATCCCAGCTGTCTTCGGGCAGTCGGCAAGGGACACCCTGAACTGGTTCCCAGCCAATCGCATTGGCACACACAGACGAACAATCATTCACGCTAACAATCACACCCTGGGACAACATTAACCTACCACGCATGTTTTTGGAATGTGGGAGGAAAACAGAGAAAACCCAGGCAGGAATGGGGAGAACATGCAAATTCCTTTACAGGAAGGCAGAGAACCCTGCACCTCTGCACTGTGAGGCCGACGTGCTAACCAGTCGACCACCTGGCCGCCCATGACAAACATGATCATTAATATATCTTTGGGGTAGAGGCATGGTTCATTTAAAAATGTAAATGTTGTTTCTCAAGAGCACAACTGTAATTCATGCCTTTGCCACATCTTGGATTTATTACTGTAATGCATTTTACTTTGGGGTCAGCCAATCCTCCATTAAGCATCTGCAGTCGGTCCAAAATGCTGCTGCTGGCCTCTTGACTAGTACTAAGTACTAAGAGTAAGTAGTAAGAGGGAGCACACAATTCCTACTCTGGCATCCCTTCACTGGCTCCCTATCCATTTTAGAGTTCTTTTTAAGATTGTATTATTTGCTTTCAAATCTTTAAATGGCCTCGCCTTACCCCTCTGAGCTTGTCCACCCCGATGCACCTGTGCCTTAGGCCTGCGGACTGGACACTATTCAAGGTACCGAGGACTATGTGAAGGCTCAGAGGGGATTGAGCTTTTTCTGTTGCTGGTGCGTCACTTTGGAATGACTTCCCACTGAACGTAAGGCAATCCCCCTCACTGTCCGGCTTTATAACTCGTCTTAAAACTCACTTTTATTCTTTGGCTTTTGACTCAGCATGAGACTTGATTTTTTTTTTTTACTGTTTTTGTGCTTTCTACTGTCTTTGTTATTAACTTAATGTTTTATTGTTTGTTGTTTATATGATTTTTGCTCCATGTACAGCAGCTTGTATACAGCAGTGGTGGTTTTAAAGTGCTCTATATATATACAACTGGCGTTGCGACCAAAACCCTTCACCGATCTTTTCTGTTGAGGTTTGAGAACCAAAGTAAATAATGCCGGGACTATCAGTTGCCATTGTGTTCTGTTCTTCATTGTACAAGTGCTTTCCATTCTATTATCCTCATTGCACTTTCTCCCTCCCTCAGATAGTGTCACAATATTCTTGTGGGAACTACGTATAGTTTCTTTAGGATTTGGCACACAAGAGGTTCAATACCTGAATATACAGTGGGGCAAATAAGTATTTAGTCAACCACCAATTGTGCAAGTTCTCCTACTTGAAAAGATTAGAGAGGCCTGTAATTGTCTACATGGGTAAAGCTCAACCATGAGAGACAGAATGTGGGAAAAAAAACTCAGAAAATTACATTGTTTGATTTTTAAAGAATTTATTAAAAATCATGGAGGAAAATAAGTATTTGGTCAGCTACAAAGAAGCAAGATTTCTGGCTGCCAAAGAGGTCTAACTTCTTCAAATGAGGTCTAACGAGGCTCCACCTGTATTAATGACGCCTGTTTTAACTCATTATTGGTATAAAAGACACCTGTCTACAACCTCAGTCAGTCACACTCCAAACTCCTCTATGGCCAAGACCAAAGAGCTGTCGAAGGACACCAGAGACAAAATTGTAGACCTGCACCTGGCTGGGAAGACTGAATCTGCAATAGGTAAAACGCTTGGTGTAAATAAATCAACTGTGGGAGCAATTATTAGAGAATGGAAGACATACAAGACCACTGATAATCTCCCTCTATCTGGGACTCCATGCAAGATCTCACCCTGTGGTGTCAAAAGATAACAAGAACGGTGAGCAAAAATCCCAGAACCACACGGGGGGAACCTAGTGAATGACCTACAGAGAGCTGGGACCACAGTAACAAAGGCTACAATCAGTAACACAATGCGCCGCCAGGGACTCAAATCCTGCACTGCCAGACGTGTCCCCCTGCTGAAGCCAGTACATGTCCAGGCCCGTCTGCGGTTCACTAGAGAGCATTTGGATACTCCGGAAGAGGACTGGGAGAATGTGTTATGGTCAGATGAAACCACCATAGAACTTTTTGGTCGAAACACAGGTTCTCGTGTAGAATACTGAGTTGCATCCGAAGAACACCATATCCACTGTGAAGCGTGGGGGTGGAAACATCATGCTTTGGGGCTGTTTTTCTGCAAAGGGACCAGGACGACTGATCTGTGTAAAGGAAAGAATGGATGGGGCCATGTATTGAGAGATTTCGAGTGAAAATGTCCTTCCATCAGCAAGGGCATTGAAGATGAGATGTGGCTGGGTCTTTCAGCATGACAATGATCCCAAACACACAGCCAGGGCAACAAAGGAGTGGCTTCGTAAGAAGCATGTCAAAGTCATGGAGTGGCCTAGCCAGTCTCCAGATCTCAACCCCATCGAAAATCTGAGGAGGGAGTTGAAAGTCCGTGTTGCCCAACGACAGCCCCAAAACATCACTGCTCTAGAGGAGATCTGCATGGAGGAATGGGCCAAAATACCAGCAACAGTGTGTGAAAAGCTTGTGAAGAGTTACAGAAAACGTTTGGCCTCCGTTATTGCCAACAAAGGGTACATAACAAAGTATTGAGATGAACTTTTGGTATTGACCAAATACTTATTTTCCACCATGATTTTTAATAAATTCTTTAAAAATCAAACAATGTAATTTTCTGAGTTTTTTCCCCACATTCTGTCTCTCATGGTTGCGCTTTACCCATGTTGACAATTACAGGCCTCTCTAATCTTTTCACGGAGGAGAACTTGCACAATTGGTGGTTGACTAAATACTTATTTGCCCCACTGTAATACATTTTTGTATTCTTTCTTCAGGTTACTCACTGAATAAAAGGGTGGGAGTTTCATACAGTACACCAGGGGTCACCAACCTTTTTGAAACCAATACCTTCTTAGCTACTGATTAATGCAGTGGGCTACCAGTTTGACGGTATGCACTTTTGAAATAAATTTGCTCAAACTACCCTCACATGTTATAATTAATGATATTCATTTCTGAGAAGACAATGATCACATTAGCGATTTCTCACAATAATTATGAAACAGATAAATATCAATTGGCCACACTTCATTTATAAACATCTGCCAGTTTTCACATTTTGAAATGATCTCTTCCACAATATTCCTGGAGAGTCACAGTGTCTAATCACTCGTGAGCTATTTTTGGAATAGGCTGGCGGGCTACTCATGTTGTCCTTGAGGGCTACCTGGTGCCTGTGGCCACCGTGCTGGTGACCCCTGCAGTAAGACCTGACATTATGGTCCAAACTGAAATAGGATTGGGTACAGCACGTCTACAGATAAAACTCCTGTAATGGGTCTAATGAGTTCACAGAGATGTGCCTAATGTTGTGGCCAGTTAAGAGTGCATGTTTTAAAAATCTGCTGACAAATATTCAGACTTTGCGATGGTAAACATTTAACAAGTTTAACATTTTTGATTGCGGGCCCTTACAGTTTTCCATGCAGATCAGGAAAAAAAAAAAAACAACCTCTCTTAGCATCCCAGACCCCAGCATAATCTATTTTAGACATACGGTAATTGGGCTTTTTCCAACTTTCATCCCAAGTGTAAAACGAATGCTCAAATTCAACCCAATTATTGGTATGCACGGACCCTACCAGGATAAACCAAAGATAGACAACCAAGAACAACAAAATCCATGAAACCCTGTGTGGTCCAACCAATCAAATGACGAAAACATAAGTTGAGATTTATTCATACAGTTTCTCATCTTAAAAATCTTTCAACAAGTCTAAGTACATTTGAGGTGGATTTGTCACATAGAGGTCAAATTTTGTACTGTGATGAAAAATAACTTGCTTGCTGATTGATTCTACTCAGTTTAGATCATGACGTGTTGAAAAGTCGGATATAAATAAAATTACATTTGCAGTGTCCATTTCAAGAAATGATGAAAATGTGTTGTTAATCTATTCATTAAAACGGCTGAGCATAAATGTTACTTGCAATGCTTGTAATGGGTTAAATTTGTGATCAAAATACACCCTTTCGCAAAATATCAAGTGTTTCAGTCGATATCATAGAGAATGTCTTTTGATGTCACTTGCATCCACCACAAAAGAACTAGCTGCAATGCAGATCCACCAAATCACCAGCTGGCGGGGTGGTAGCCTGGATGAATTGGCTCAATCACCAATCGGTGACTTGGCTCTAAGACTGGTCAATGCAACTGGTTTTGGACTTAGTTGCTGTGCACCAAGGAGACGAAGAGAAGAAGTGAGCAGAGGGAGATGGCACCAGTCAGCACAGCTTTCACCAACAACACGGTCCAGCTGCCCAAGACGAAGGCATGGATGAACAACCTGCACGTACAGAGGTGGGGGGGAGGGAAAAAAATATATCACATACAGTGCTCAAACTTAACACACACTTACAGGGATTTTCGATACCAATTATTTTCAGACTGATGCCAGTATGAGTACAATAAAAATGCAATCTTTATTTACACAGCACTTTTCCGACAGCTGCAGCTGTAACAAAGCGCCTTACAGAACATTTAACATGAATTAACAATAGTCCACTCCAAAGGCTCACAGTGTGCTTTAAATTCAAAGTGCCATTTGGGCGAGCAAAGCCGAAACAAAAATGTCAGATTTTTTTTCTGCCTGAATGCTCACAGAGTTTCTCTTTTTTTGTTGTAAGAGGATAACGTGTCATTTGCCAAGTCAGGGGGAGGTGGGACTGCTCATAGAGCTGCCGGGAGTTACGTCCCGTCCACCCCCCCCCCCCTTCAAACATGCAAGTACTCACCGATACCAACGACGAACGACTAGTACTTTTGTTATATACATTTTAAATACATTTAAACTGAACCAATGATGGATAATTTTATAGTATAGATTATATATAAAAAAAAAAAAAAAAAACAACAACAAAAACCCAAATGGCACAAGCCGGCCGGCAACCCTCGTGAGGACAGAGCGGTTCAGCTAATGCATAGATGGATGTTAAAAGAAAAATTGATGTAACATAGACAAATACAATGTTATCATGTTTAAAAGTTTCATTTTGTTAAATGCTTGATTGACCTCGAGAGCGTGTGTTTATACAGCTTGTACACAATGGGGCACGGAAAATCAGGGGTCAATTTGAGGTGAATGGAGCCAAGGCGCTTGTTAACTGATAATACGGAAAGAAAGATTCAACTTCGGGCGGACAGGAAGTACAGGATGCGCTCCAGCATAATAAGATGTCCTTGAGCAAAGTTACAGATGTATCAGTTCATGGGAAGGCCTCCAGGTGTCCACTGAGGGGCGCGGGCCGAGAGGTGCGGCATGTAAATGAAGGGAGGAGTGTTTTTCTGATATGTGACTTGTAATTTGCATATACTGTCAATAAAGGCCAGCAGGAGCTGCGAGAGTTCAGGTGTCAGTTGGGGGAGCGAACGCTTCATCGAAAACTGCCTCCTGCCGGCAGTAAAAGACAATTCCTTCCTGAGTTGAGTCATTTTGTTCAACTTGTCGGAGCTAAATCTCTGACAAACACAATGGAAAACATAAGCCTCTACCATCTTTTTTGGGAGCGTTTTGTCGCCATAAAATTCCAAGTTAATGATAATTTGCTCAAAAAAATAGTTTTAACAGTTTGATCATTAAATAACATTAAATTTCTTGACTTGTATGCGTATTCAGTTAATTATAGGTTGAAAATAATTTGCCAATTGTTGTATTTAGTTTGGGGCGGTGGTCGACTGGTTAGTGCGTCGGACTCACAGTGCAGTGAAAAACATGCATGGCAGGTTGATGGAACACTCTAAATCAGGGGTGCCCAAACTTTTATGATCGAAGATCTACTTTTCAATCAGCCAACCTCCTGTGATCGACCCGTTACCGAGCATGCGCGCATACGCACACACGCATGCCATGATGAGCAATAGCCTGACGCTGAGGCACACGACGCACTTTTGCAGCCTGTTAACGATCGTAGCTCACGCGTACCGTTTTAAAATGCTTCTCTCGGCCCTCCAGATTCTCTTTCTTTGCCCGCCCCCTCGGTGAATTGTCCAAATCAAACTCTGAATGAGAATAATGATAACGATTAAAGACATAGCGCAACAACTCTGATCACAAGCTGCAACTGCAGACTGCTGAGCGCTAACAACTTCCGGTGACGCATCACACGTCACCGTAGGTTAAAGATGACCTGCTTATTTTATTTTCTTTTTAAAATACTATTTGTGAAAGTGAGACTAATAGAATGATAAGGGTGCAGTGTGCATTAACACAAAAAATATATTATTTACATGCACAGAGACACAAATGTTTTTTGGGGTTTCTTTCCTCTCCACCTCGGATTGACTTGGGACCAGTCCTTAATCTACTGGTGGATCAAGATCGACGTAATGGGCACCCCTGCTCTAAATTGTCCCGAGGTGTGAGTGTGAGCGGGAACGGTTGTACGTCTATGTGTGCCCTGTGATTGGCGGGCAACCAGTTCAGGGTGTACCCAGTCTACTGCCCCAGGACAGCTGCGATAGGCTCCAGCACGCTGGCAACCCTCGTCAGAATAAGCGGCTCAGATCATGGATGGATGGATGTATTGGATTGGATTGGATTTCAATTTTGTGAAGTCAGCTACCATGTCTTGAAGCAATGTGAGATTCTTCTACATATTACAAGGGTGTTCCCATTACATTTTAAAGGTAACTAAAACCTAAAAGACATCTTAGAAAGAACTCAACACTTTAAAAATTAACAGTACCTACGATTTTTAACTGACTAAATATTTCAAAGATATATTTTGAATAAATCTGCCTTTAAATTGTATGCAATTTGAACAAAACAGCAGAGTGGGTGCTAACTTGAATGCTTTATCATCTGGATGTGATCCAGGCTGCCCACTTCCACATGTGGGAAAATCTCGGTGGACAGGTTTGATGCTCTCTGTGCTCTTGTTTGATGTAAATGCCACAATGAGTGGGTTGTAGATGCACTTACTCCATTAAGAAGGACTTGTAGACACAGAGGGCCAGCAGCACAGTGACAGGGAGCCTGAAGCTCTTGGGAAGGTCGTAGCGTGTAAACATCCACACTACCGCTGCCATGGCAATATAATGGACCTGTAAACAGACAGAATGAAGAGAAATGAAGCCATTTTGAGAATGTGCTTATCTGACCACGGAGAGGAACTATCTTTTCACACGTTCCATTTATTGAAAAATGGAATCGGAAGCATTTGTGGCCAGTGCTACTGCGAAGAAACAGAAAGTGGCAAAAGGAGACCCCCAGTGGATGAGAACATGAATGACAAATGTACTCACCAAACTAATATTGGAGTCAAAGCTCATCTGGATGTATTTCCAGTCAAATTCGATCCCTCTGGCCCCAACCCAGAGAGGAAGACATCTGCACAACCACAAGCGGAGACTTTGATATGTACACATGGTTGATGAAACTGAGCTATTTGTTTAAATGGCATTTGGTTACGTTTTGTGGGGGCGTGGGCGGTGGGTGGAAGCGACAATGCTTACCTCGACATTACAAGTTCGGCGGTTGCCCACCCCATGGCGGCTACCATGATTTTGTACTCTCCTTTGCCGGCATTTCGTGACATGACAAGATGGAGGCCCAGCAGGTCTGCAAGGTCCACTGTTGCTTTCATAAATTCCTGACACAAGCATACAGCCATCTAAAACCTTGGGTACACCTGTGCTTTCCTATTAAAATGTAATAAATGAGCTGTAACCAAAAATAAATAAATGAATAAATCGCGCTTAACAGGTATAATTATGTTGTTTTAGCTCCGAGACATTATTTCTACAGTACGTCAATTTTTGTGAGGTAATGGTGTCGGTTTGGATTGGTGTACTGCAACATACTATGAACGGTTTCACATATTTGAGGGTAACCAACTTTTTTTAAAAAAATTCCTCTGTGTGGTGCAGTGCAGAGCTAATCTAGAGTTTGAATTAAAATAGGGTATGACATTTTGCTTGGAAGGATCTTAGTTGGTCTGTTGCATATTTTATTGTTACATTAGTCTAAAAAAAAAAAAAAAAAAGGTTTTTCCGGCCTTAAAAAAAAAAAAAGGGGGGCCGGGGTTTTGTGAGGTAATGGTGTCGGTTTGGATTGGTGTACTGCAACATACTATGAACGGTTTCACATATTTGAGGGTAACCAACTTTTTTTAAAAAAATTCCTCTGTGTGGTGCAGTGCAGAGCTAATCTAGAGTTTGAATTAAAATAGGGTATGACATTTTGCTTGGAAGGATCTTAGTTGGTCTGTTGCATATTTTATTGTTACATTAGTCTAAAAAAAAAAAAAAAAAAGGTTTTGCCGGCCTTAAAATGAAACATAGGTGGGCCACGGGAGATCCGATTGATCTTTTGGTCCATGCACAAATAACGTGGATCATGGAATTTATCATCACTTGTCATCATTAGAGTCTGCTTGCATTGACGCCACACGGGGGCGACAAACTCGAGATTCAACTGACAGGAGAGAGAAAAAGCTCCGGCTGCATGGCGAATGCATACCTGTCAATTCATACGGTTTAGCCATATTTTATACGGATTTTGTGGTGAATCTTACGTATCTGGCCATATCGCACAAATCATACGGATTCTGAAAATTTCCGTTTTTTTTTTCCCTAACAGGTTAGTTCTGTTTTCTTTTGCCCAGAATGGTGCTCGTCTACTCAAATGCTTTCATTTCCGGTAACGTTCCAGTAAATCACGTGGTTCCTAGTTGAAAACAGCAGAGTATTCATTCCATACTTTGGGAGTGTACAAGCAAGTTCTAATCTACAAGGAAACACATTTATCATTCATATTGCGCAATGGAACCAACAAGAAAGAGAAGTAAAACGAAGCACAGTGGAAGGTTTCTTCAAGAATGGATATCGCAGTTTAATGGCGCAATAGTGCCTGGTAAGACTGAAGAATATGCTCATTGCACACTGACAGCACACTGACAGCATTATTGCAATGCAAAGTAAATATGAATGGATGCTGTAACTTCGAGCCGATGGGTCAGCATATGGAGTTGGTGAAAAAAGTAACGCAGGAATACAACTCTGAACACAGTAATGCCACTAAGTAGAATGATGATTAGACATTCACCTGTCATTGTATTATGGAGATCTACAATAAATATCATTAAAAATTTCGTGGTTTTTTTTTTTCTGCCGTTATTTTGACATATAAAATGCTTTGGTATGTTATAAGGATTTTTTGCTCTTTATTAGGATTTTTTTGGTAGTTTATATGGGTTGGTGCTCCGAAAGGTTGACAGGTATGCGAATGGCATTTGTGTTACGCTCTTTTCACTCTTATCTTGAGTTAGAACCATAAGAAAAATGTGGTTAAATTAGGTATTTGTGCTCGATTCGAATAATTTGAATTGACCAGTTGCAAATTGTTTGGATTTTATTTAATGTTTTATTTCATTGTCATTTGACTTGAAGCACATTTATGAAAAATATTTAAGCATCTAGGCTTCATAAGTTCTCTTGCTTGTGACCTGTTGTAAAGCTAGGGTAGCTGCCGGGCGGCGGTGTTGACGGAAGGTTCATTGGGAAGACAGTCGGGCATGGAGCAACAACTTTTCTGACCATCTAAACATGTTAAAGTGCTCACGTTACACGAGCCAGTTTATAATGTTTTTTTCCAGGTGTGGGGGGGGGGGACACCTTAATAATTTGGATTTAAAAAGACTCAAAAGGAATTAAAGCGAGGCCTTTTTTGTTCAACTACAACGGCGTTGTTCTTTTGTTTCGTCGTGGCCCGTCGACGAAAGGCTCGAGTCAGGATCTTTATTCCCTGCTGACATCGTGACAAAGGACAGTAAATTGTCGCTTATAGCTTGTTTCAAGCTACTGGGACGGCTTCTGGAGGAAAAATAAACTCATTCTTTAAATATGTGTTAATGTGGGTTTGGTAACTGGTAACTGACCATCATTTACAATGTGGATAATAATTCAGCAGGATATGGCTAATGACAGTGTAATCATGTCAAAATAGCTGTTCCCTGGTTGCAGTACGCCGTAATCCAACCATTTGCTTAAATTGCTTTCAATCGAGTCAATTGTGCAAATGCGCCTAATGCTGAGGGCTAGTGAGTACAATGTCACTTTCACACTTACCCCAACAAAGTCATAAACTCCAGCTCCTCCTTCCCAGGTGGGGAAAAAAGTCGCAAGGAACAACATCTGGCAAATACGAGAACAGCAAAAAAACATTAATATTTTCGGTGCAATCTAGCTCTGTGGTTCACAAGCTTTTAGGGGTGCCCCTGCATATTTCTGATTGACCTGAAGTCAATAACGTCAGAATATGAGCTATCAGTGGTAACTTCCAGAACAAACCGTTATGTTTCACAATAAAAATGATTGGTCTGAGTCCACTGAAACACATCATCATCACTTGAAAATAAATTGCAGATCATCTAGTGTCGTGCAGTAACTTTCAGAATCCAAATGGGAGCAATATATCTGATTAAAATACTTGTGAAACAGAAGCAATAAGAGGCAAAAAAAGTCACGTTAACCTCCGTAGTTTAGGTAGACAAAAGTCTCGGTACCATTTGAGTAAAATAATCCTATTTTGAAAAAATGTCATCGGAGCTTTTCGAAAAGAATTACATCACAAACAATGAGGTATCCATGGTCCATGTCCATGTCCTGGCTGAGCAACACTACCGGTAATTTCCCTGACATGAAACATCATGATAGATTTTCCTCATTTAGCCTCGAGAGGAAGACCAAACTAGAGAGTTTACTCACTTTGCAGAGCTGGACAAAAAGGTAGGTAGCTCCAGCCTGGACACACTTCCAGAAAGCGTTGTATTCGGAACTAAAAATCAGACACAAAGGGTGAATAAGACAATATGTGATTAGGAAAGAACGTCTTCGTAAAATCGTACAATATACCAGATTAAGCCCCAAATTGCTTGTGGAGATTAAGTACCACCATTTCCACAATACTAAGAGGATTTGGCAGGGATTCACAAAGCTCTGACATTACTAAACTGATTAGCAGACCCTTTTGTTTCTACGACAAGGAAATGCAACGCGAGACCGGCATGTACAATAACTATCAATAATATTGTAAAATAGCAACTAATGCTTCAATGTGGGTGAGTAGTATCTTATAGGTACAGTATGTGAAAAATTTCTTGAAGATGTGCACAAACCACCGATTTCCAGGTATAAGAAGCATTTGGACACATTGATGTGATGCTGATGAAATGGTTGCAGACGCCAAATTATGCTTCATACAGCTCAACGGTACACATCTTGAGATGTCAGAATTTAAAGTTTACCAAAACAATACTGTTCAATAAGCCTAAAGCCAAAGATTATTGCAAATAATTATCATGGTATCACCCAAACTGGGGATCGTCATTATCGGCTCATCAATTACGCTTTTAAAAACAAGAAATATTTTGTCGTTATCTCAAGATACTATATCTCAATAATTTGTCGTAAATCGTTTGCGGGCTCTTTCAAATGGAACACGTTTATTTAAAATTGGAGCAACTTGAAATTGTTCTTCGCATACTTTTTTTTTTTTTTACTTTCATTGGAAACATTTTCTGTGGATGCATCGATTATATTTGCAGATATAAAAGACATACTTACAGGCCGCTGCACTTGTATGTTATAAAGTAAGGGAAATACGCCAAAGCAAAGCAATTTCCAAAATGAAACAGGGTCATGACGGCCAGTCAGATGATCAGGTGGCCTGTAGAAATATTGTGTTTGAAAAAAAAATGTCAATACTGTACTACAAATGTGCAAGGACATTAACCATGTGTGGTCACAAGACTCGACCGATATTAAATATTACAATTCAACATTTACAATTCATGCGGAAAGTGAATTAATCTGTATTCGGCTGGATAAAGCAGATTTATCTATGGGATAAGACACCTCGATCTCACTTCCAAAACGAGTCGCGCGCATGTCCATCGAGCCACAGAGACATTCTCCACGAGACGGATACACGCATATTCTTCTCAATGTGCCCACAGACAATCACATAAATGTGTTTGTGCCACAAAATGTAATATTAGTAAAACGCCACTTACAACAAGGGGAAGCAGGACGCCGTGCGTTACCGGAAGTTAGTGTTGTTCTACGTTAAAATCCCTCCGACTGAGTTTCCGCTGGGGCTCAATGACAGCGAGAAATAACCACCAGAGGGCGGCGGATCAGCCCAAGCCTTCATTTTTGAGCACGACTCCCTCGCCATCTCGCTGTCACATCTTGCATTCATTTGTATTCCAGGGCCGCTGTGGCAAAACTCTCTGGAAGGCAGTGAGGAGTAGGACCACAAGCGCGAAGGGAGAGCCGCATTAACTCCTGTGTCGCGATCTACTATCTACAGTGAGACTGTACAAACGACGGCCACAGTCATGTATTGTTTAGGGAAATATGATAATCTGTATAATTTGTGTGCCTTAAATTGTATTGTGTATGCATTTATATAACGTTGTTGTTTATAGAACATTGCGCATAAGCAGTGGCACGTGTGGCTGGAGCAGCGTAGTAATATAGTCAAAAGTTTTAAAGATAACGTGCATAGTATTGTGAGTTCATTCAGTGATGTCCGTATATGACGAGTAGTGTCATCCATATACACATGCATGCAAAGACATTGTCATAGTTTGCCATTCCATCCATCATCTGAACCGCTTTATCCTCACACACAAGGGTCGCAGGCTTGCTCGAGCTTGTCCCATCCATCTTTGGGCAGTAGGCGGGGCGCACCCGGAACGGATTAACTGGACAGCCAATCGCAAAGCACAATTATTCCACGTCAGACCACCCGACCGTAGCCTGATTTTGAACTGATCGACATGTGATGTCACAGACCAATTTAAATGTCTCGAAGCCGATTTTGAGTTGACTTGACGCGTGATCGGAGCTGTTGTTTATTTTGATTAGAAAGGGAGATTTTGTCTGGTCATTTGTGATTGAATTATATTATGTTTTGTATCAATCTTTTAGGTTTTACTTGACTTGTTAAATTGCACTTCCTTTATTTTTTCCCAATATTACTGTCGGCAGCCAGTAGTTGTTGACATTGTAAACGTTAAACAATTTCCTTACGTAGTTAAATAAAGACTCAACAAATGAATACGAATTAATCTCCGACTATGAAAATAGCAGCTGCAAGGCTTTTTTTAAATTTAAAATTAATCTCTTGCTCATTTGGTGCTTTTTATTTTAATTCAGTTGAATGCAGAGTTCCAGCAGAATATGAATGTAGCACTGCCCAACACATTCTATGCTGAGTTTGACAGCAACATTGCGCAGACAGAAGGCATCAGGAACTGGCAAAAAGGGAAATCCCCAGGCTGAAATTTTCAAACTCACAATGAAGCGGTAAACAGATTTAGACTGGAGAACAGTTTTTGTTGAGTTAGGTCTGATGGCTGCTTTAAACTAACTTTTGGGTGCAGAATCCAGAAGTTTTACTCCATCACATCAAGTTTTTGAGCAAGAGGATCCCCGTTTTCTTAAATGTGAAATAAATAATACAATATAAGAATAATAATAATAGGAAAAAACAGAAATAAAAACATGAAACAAAATAGAACAATTGAACGCCCAAGGTTACAAGGTGAAGAGAAAAGCCAGTTACGAATCCTCTTAATTCCTACTATGCTACCTTTTTGTTTGGAGATCCTTATATTGCAGACCTTTTGGGTGCTGCACACACCTCTCACCTAGGATGACCAACCGTCCCGCGAAATGCATGCACATATAGCGTTTGAAGCTCAATCCATGTGTTCCGCAAATTGAGGGCGTATACCGCAAAACGCTTGCTCTAATAACAAACTTGGTCACAATACCGCTGCAAGCCCGTGGAAACCAAATTAATATTATTTGACAGCTTGGCACATCTCTGTTGCTGTTGCTGTTGAGCAACCTCCAACTGGGTCCCAAAGCGACCCAGGTACCTGCAGACCCAGTTGTCAAGTCAAGTCAGCTTTTATTGTCCAATATGCTCTATGTGTAACATACAGCACAGATGAAATTACTTTCCTCTCTCAACCACAGTGAAAACATGTAGTGTATTGAACACACACAGTTAATATTTACGTTAAAATTGTCGGCTGTTGCCTGGGAAATGTTCGTAGCCCGAAGGCATGCCCAACACCGCTTGGCGGTCGTTCTCGAGTTGGGCCTCTGTTGCTGTTGAACTTAGTTGTGAACAGCTGACTGCGGTGACAGGTTCCCATCAATCACATGCCGAATCAGGATCATCTTTATTGGCCAAGTATGTAAATCACCCAATTTGAATTTGTGTCCATTAGTATGAGCTACACTAGTATTGCAGTAACAGCCAACTACAAGAAACAAAGACATGACATATAAGTATAGTAAGACATTCTGTAATTTAAGGGTGCCATTGTGTAGTCGCACCACCTGATGACAGGTGTGCGACAATGTGCAGAGTCATCAAGCAGAGATAAAGTGGTCGGTGGTGAGGTACTTATGACACTGTGACGGTTGTGCAGTTGGTACAGATAATCGTTGCACCAGTTTTAAGTGACCAGTAGCAGGAATTGTAGTTCAGCTTTAGGTGTGCAATTATGCAAAAAGTCCTTGAGCTTCAAAGTGTTTAGTGCTGTGGAATGCTTTTTGTTGTTATGACACCGCATGCACATGCGGCAAAAGATAGACAAGTCAATTTCTGACTTTATTCTGGGAATTCTCACTTTAATGTCAGAATTCTGAGATAAAAGTTTCTCTTCATTGGCTCTAATCTTCCTCCGTAGCTAGTAATGGGTAAACCACTATCAGTGAGTCTGCCCGTGGGCTGAAATCACCGTGTCGTCACCAGGCTGCGCAGTTTCCCACATTGTCCATCAGAAACATACCCCTTGAACCTCATTGGGCTTATTAGCAGGTGGTCACCCTACTCTCACCACATTGTCTCAATTGCGACTGCATGAACAAGTTGCCACATTGCTGGAGATAAGTCCAATCGTCACATTGGGCTGAAGACACGGAGTTGCCTTTTTTTTTTTTAAGCTGAAAGAACAACGACGTGAGACCGACAAAGTACAACATAAAAAGTTAATAACAAGGAACCAGGATAACGAGACAAATCAAAAGCGCTTGCAAAAAGAAAGGAAAATAAGGGGAAATATTATTATTACTTATCTCACAAAAAAAGCAAAAGCTAATTTCATGAAAACAAGAAAAACAGAGGATAACACTATGACACAAGATAGATAAAAAAAGGGAAAAACAAGGAAATACTAGACAAGACTATGAGACAGTTGCGAGAACGTGGAGTGTACCGTAGGCATGTTGCGTTCAGGAAACTCGGAGCTGCGAGTAGCAACCCATACTGTATTTTTACCTTTCGTACTCGAGGCAATATTTTCCTGTTGAGGCGTTTCGTAACTTGAAAATTTCGTACGAAGAGACATTCGTAAGTAGAAGTACATGTATCATCTACACATGCATCTGTAAATAAACGGGACAAGTACACAGCTCGAAGGTTTTCAAGTTTTATTTTTTTCTCGTTACTCTTTAGAGGGGTTACAGTCACCTTGCCCTTTCTCCTTCCACTGGTGAATAAGCCTTTGAAACACACCAACATGGAGATGGATACAGCAGTTTACGACAGTATTGAGCCATAACAACACATCTACTGGGGCGGGAAGAAGTGAAGAAGGCAGGGGCACACAGACACAAATACTGTCACCAGCCAATCATCTCACCATCAAAGGGAAAGACATGGTTAAATCAGAACACTTAACACATATTTTTTCTTTCTACTTGTACAGAAGAAGAGCTAAGGGACTGTGATGCTATGACATGGTTATGAGTGGAGCCTGTGTGTAAAAGAGAAAGGAGGGGATAGAGCATGGTTGGGGTGGTCCCTTTCTGGACATGCTTGCAGCACAGCCAAGTGTCTACTCCTTGGATTGCATGTACAACAGCAGGTCAGCAACACGGTTGCTGTAGCCACACTCATTATCATACCTGGAGCAGGGCACAAAGAAATGAGAGCATTAGTTCATTAAACGTACTGTTTTCGGTTTGGAAGAATTTGATTCAAATGAAGGACAGACACCCCCCTCCCACTAACCAGGAAATGAGCTTCACAAAGTTGTCAGAGAGGGAGATGCCAGCACCAGCATCAAAGATGGAGGAGTGGGTGTCGCCAATGAAGTCAGAGGAGACTACCTGCTCAAAACAGTACAGGCAGTCAGTGTCTGCTAATTCAATTAAACATCAACTGTTCAGACAGATATTTCTGTCACCTGATCCTCAGTGTAACCAAGCACTCCCTTCATGGGCCCACTAGCGGCCTTCTTGACAGCTTCCTTAATCTTAGCATAGGATGCTGGCTTGGACAGGCGACAAGTCAGGTCCACCACGGACACGTCGGCCACAGGTACCCTGAACGCCATGCCTGTCAGTTTACTGGAGACAAATGAACACCATTGCCATTTGTAACTTCTTTGTGTCCGTTAACAAATCCGCATGGAGTGATTCATGTGTCTATGTTCATGTCCTTTACCCGTTAAGCTCAGGAATGACTTTGCCCACAGCCTTGGCAGCACCAGTGGACGCTGGAATGATGTTTTGGTGAGCCCCACGACCATCACGCCAGGCCTTAGCACTTGGACCATCCACTGTCTTCTGAGTGGCCGTGTAAGCATGGACTGTAGTCTACAAAAACAAAAGTGATAAGACTATCAATACAAGCAGACCCATTTCCAAACAAAATTGTGCTTGCCATTATTGCTGTAGTCCAGTTTTACTGTAGCTTACCATGAGGGCCTCCTCAATGCCAAAGTTATCGTGAATGACTTTGGCCAAGGGGGCCAGGCAGTTGGTGGTGCAGGAGGCATTGCTGTTCACAGAAACACACGTGTTATCTTTCATGAGAAGTGGCGAGTCACATCAGCCACCTGCACAAATAAATCTTGAAGAAACCTTCATATTACCTGACAATCGTCATGGAGGAGGGATCGTATTTGTCCTCATTGACGCCCATGACAAACATGGGGGCATCAGGTGAGGGTGCTGACACTACCACGCGTTGAGCCCCAGCAGTGATGTGCGCCTATAGTCACGATGGAAAGGGCATACTTTAGAAACTTTGAAGACGTTTTGAGCATTTATGTACAATCGAGATTGCTCATGTACATACAGTCGCCTTCTCCAGACTGAGGAAGACTCCGGTGGATTCCACAACGTACTTGGCACCAGCTGCGCCCCAAGGGATCTCAGCTGGCTTCATACTAGTCAGATAAAGAGGAAAATATCTTCAATAGCTCTTAAGGTATTACGGTTAAATGTTGAACGGGCCATCGGGGTAGAGTTTAATTATAGTGAAAAGAAATGTATTATTACAATTTTTGACCAGGTTAGTTCTTAAATTCAGCCTTGTGAAGAGGACAACATCTCATCTTGTGTTTATGTCATGGGTGATTTTTAATGCGGTCACGTCTGATAAATCTTCATTTTCTCAACATCGTAGACAATTTTGTGATGACCATAAACTTACCAGAAGCAAGTACAGCCTGACAATAGTTTCACCTGTGTTCGTGACACATGGCACACACCATCCCGGTTAGACTAGATCAGTGCTTCGTAAGTATTTTCTGTCATGCCCCCACCCCAGGAAGAAGAAGAAGAAAACATTTCGTGCCCCCGCCCCCTCCATCCCTCACGCGACTATAAATAGTATCATTTGTCTATAAAATTGTTGTAAGTACACCTCTGCATAACATTGTATTCTTATTAACCTACAAGAGAATAAAAAAAAGAAATATGGACCAACTTACAACAAAGAATAGCTTTATTAACTTTAACAGAAAAGATTTAAAGTGCATCTGAAATTCCAAAATAAAATTAAATCCTTAATTAAGCTAAACATTTTTTGACTGACCATGTCAAACCATACGATACTGAAAAATAAAATATATAAAATCAATAAATAATAATGCATTCTAACTGATCACCAACATTAACTCAGGACCACAATATTAAAAAAAACTTTAACCTGCAAAACAAAAATAAAATAATTTGTTTTTTTTTTTTAAAATAAAAGCTGTTGTCTGGATTAATGGCTAAAATGAGCCAGTTTTGCTATTCACAGAAGCTTTTCAAAGCGAGGTTTGAAGCAGGACACAGCAACTCTCGGCTCCTGCTCAATGTGTAGCTGGGACCTGTATTTTAGTTTACTGAAGTAGCAGTCACAAAGCGGGATGATTGTTGGCAATATTCGGCATGTTTTCACTGAAAAAACTCAAGCGGCTTATCAGCGTGATTGGGGTGTAATGTCTTTAACCCCTTAAACCGAGGGCAACTTTGCTGAAAACGCCTGTGGAAAGGTGCACCCAAAGTCAATTTTTAGCTATTCTTGAACCATTTGAAGTATCAGCATAGTTTTGGTCAATTTTTTGAAATATTCAAAATGTCACATTATGAGTATTTCTCCCATACAGTAGGAATTTGTGTAAGTGCTCCTGTCTCAGAATTATGGATGTTTGAAAACAGAAGAAAAAGGCGAATCTCTTTTTTTCTTTTCACAATATCTGCCTTGAAAATGGATTTAGAATGTTGATTAGGACTTGAAAACACTACAGGATCAAAGCTGAGATGAAAGTGGACTTTTCTGAAAATTCCGGGAAAAAAATTTATATATATATCTATATATATATATCTATATATAGATATATATATCACACACACACACACACTGAGACGACTTTCTCCACACTTGTCTCCCAGGACATGAGTGCATGTGTGTGCCTCGCGGTCGTAGGGGTTAGCTTCTGTCAGCTCAGACACACTTCTCATTAGGCCACCTCTCCTGTCATTGGTACACGGACACTGCCGGCGCTACAAGCAAGAACACGTTCCAAACAGCACAATTCAGCTTAGTGTCCAAAAAAAATAGCCGTAGTGTAACTCTGCAGAGGTTGGTTTTCATTTTGAGACTTCCATTTAGTCTTTTTTCATGTCGCTTAAAGCAGATCATCGGACAATGATGATTGAAAGACAAAGCCGCACGATGCGTCTTCACAGTTTAGTTTAGAAATAGCAATGGGAGAGAGCTGCTGATTTCTTTCCTTCTTATTTTCCTTCTTGACACTCCCGCTGTCCATGAATGGATTGTGTTTTGAGTCTGTTGATTGTCACACACTCTTTTTGTATAAAACTAAAATGACCTCGACCACAATGTCTGAGTGTACTGCTGTATACCAACAAAGACCAGCAAGCAGGCCTACAGAGGAAAAGTGGCTCAACAAAGCAAAACAAAAGGTCAACTGGCTCCGAGCAGCATGACGGACACAAGCTCTCCTCGGTGACTGTCCAGGTCTGTGCCAAAAACAAAGTCTTTACCCTTGAGGCCTAATTAGCCCTTCAGCGAATGTGTTGCTAATCGTTTATAAATGTGCTTGCTCTAATTTATTTGACCCACGGTGTCACTATGTTTTAATATAGTGGGGGAGTAGCACTCCGTTTACTGGATGATTGTCCCATCTAATGCGGCATTAAAGCAGTGTTAATGATGAGCTTTTAATGGTGTGATCAAGACAAGCTCATCTCATAATTAGTACAAACAATGACTATATGGAGTCATTAAACACAGCTGGTGACCACGACAGTATTTTCAAAATGCCAAGTTCTACAGTTGCATCTCTATCTTTTTGCACAACAAAAGGTCGGACGGACACGATTTTCTGCCCATCTGTGTTTTTCCCTTTTTGGCCAAATATATATTTTACGACAACTGTCTTGTTGACGGCGTCTTTTATTCGTTCCACTGGGGTTTAGCAGGTGTGTTTATAAAGAGACGAAAATTGTTTGGGGACTATCCCCCACGTTCTAGTTGAGATGGTATAACCCAAGAGGCAAAATGACGCTTGCTACTGTTGTTGCGAGTTGCCATTCGTTCCACTAAACCATTCGTATCATGCCTTCTGTCATTATTACACAAACAAAAATCTCTTTACTGTTACAAGTGTTAGTGCCTCAATATGGCTACGCTCGTGAAAGCAAGACAACGAACTCAAACGCGTCTTCGTTCAATGTTGTCAACAAATATCCATTCAATGTTGTCAACTAATATCCGGATTAATTTTATGCAAATTTTCCTCAATTCTCCGGAGAAATTTTCATAAAAAATTGAAAAACCCGGAATTCCGGGAAAATCCGGAGGACTTTCATCTCTGAAAGCTTAAGTCTCCCCAAGCTTTGGTTCAAATTTGACAATTGTAACATGTAGGGTACCATTCAAATCTCCAGAAACTCAGCTTTTAAAAGATGTATAAACATGTTCACACATGATGACGTGCATCAGCGATTTGTTTTGACAGATGACGGACGTCCTGGACGGGGCCGACGCCTTAATTTATTTGGCTTCATGCTGTCCGCTACCAACATTTTTAGACACAGTAAGCACACCGATCTTTCCTCGTCTGCCACCATAGTCACAGTGAAGCCAAGCGCGACATACGCCTCGCCATATTTCCTCCCTTTCGAATGCTCCCTGTGCAAACTCTGCCAATGAGTGCCACTGCCCCCTAATGTAGTGGAGGGGCAAATGCACTTTATTCTAGGACAGTTAAAAAAAAAAAAAAAAAAAAAAAATTAAAAAACACGTTCCCCGAGGTCAAACGCGCCCCCCTTGATGGAGCAAGGGCGCCCCCCACTATTTGAGAAACATTGGACTAAGTTGTGACCACAACTAATGCTCATGATTCACTGGGAAGTATCGCGATATGCGTTGGATTTGCCACCTCTCCCATTTGCTGTCCAGCTAAATATTGGGTATGTTCACCAGCTGTCTAATAATAGTAAGGCTGCTTCATTAAGTAAATTGGATTGGTCAAAATTGAGGAAAGAGGATGTGGCTGATTACTCTGTTGACCGACAACCGACTTCAGGAATTTATATGGCCTTGGGAGGCCTGAATGTGCTCAGATCCGAGGTGTGAGGTTGCATATCATGCTGAGAATCCCTGTCCCATGTATGATGATATTGTGAATTGTCGATATGCTTCCACTGCACTTTTTCATAAACATAAATGCAATGTATCAAACATCAGGGCTGGGTGGAATAAGTTTGTGGCTGAGATACATGCTGCTACGAGAGAGGCCTTTCGAATCTGGTCAGTCGCAAGCAGACCAAAACAGGGTGTCACATTAGATATTAAGGAGCTCATAGATGCGAGATATTAAAAAATGCACTCCATTTTATTCAGAAAAGTGTTAAAAGCAATTAAGTTATTATTGATCATGACCATATTGGACTTAGTTACAGTTATCTATGATGCACTTAACATGGGGGAGAATTTTAAAGCCTGTGGTATGGACTACATCCAACCATCCACTTTCGGATCCGCTTATCCTTAAAAGGGCAGTGGGGTGTGCTGGAGCTTATCCCAGCTGTCTTTGGGCAGTAAGCGGGGAACGCCCTCAACTGGTTGCCAGCTAATCACAGGGCACACACTCACACCTCGGGACAATTGAGAGTGTTCCATTCACCATTCCAACAACCTGCCCCGCGTGTTTTTGGAATGTGGGAGGAAAAATAGAGTACCCGGAGAAAACCCACGCAGGCATGGGGAGAACATGCCAACTCCACACAGGAAGGCCGGAGCCGGAATCCAATCCTGCACCTCTGCACTGTGAGGCCGATGTGCTAACCAGTCGACCACCGGGCTGCCGTATGGATACATTTCAAATATCCCAGCTACAGACTCAGCCCACTGCTATCCATGTGCTTTACCGGTTTCTTGGTTCATGTTATCTTGCCCCTATTTTGTCTGTACTGTTGGTGACACACACACCCCGCAAGTGTACTGAAAACAGTCATGTCCGCGTCTGTTTTGATTGCCTCAGTGTGGATTTGCATTCATCAAAATAAAGTGAGAAAAAGGTAAGCAGTCACAGTGTGTTATCGCTTCTCTCTTCAACATTAGGCTTAATAGCACCGACATTTGAGAAACACCTTTATTTAACCCAACAGTGCCATCTAGAGGAGTCGAAAAACAACTTTTTCATGACGCAAATTTGAGGCTTGATTTCACTTGTGTGTTTTACCTTTTTTTTTGTAATCGAATAACTGATAATATATCACGGTATATTGTTTTCATGACATAAAAAGGCCGACATCGCGATAGATTTATTTCCCTATCGCCCAGCATTACATGTTAGTCATCAGAAATATCTCTCTGTATATACTGTATTGGCAGACAGAAAAATGAAATGTCCTCCCATTAGAGGGCAAAGGGTACAATCAAGCCCGTGTATCCATCAGCCATTCATCCAAAAGAATAAGTGATATGTCAACTTTGTGTTCAATTAAAGCCCAAACATCACACTAAGTCAGTACATTTGTGACTAAATGAGGGTCGACAGTTCAATTATTTCAACTCGTTATTGGTGATGTGGTGAACGGGGGGAGCGCACCCCGGATTACTACTGATCGCAGTAGCAGTACGTCCCTGGAGCGAACAAGATTGTGCTTGCTGTAAAAAAAGGCAAAATATCTCTCGATCTGATCTAACCGATCAAATCTGTGGAAAGTCTACGGCACAGCAGGAAAAACTGAGACAATATTGGCAATGAATCGTGAGTTTATGTTTATGTCCATGCCTACCATTGGAAGACTGAGATGACGTGACCATCCACAACCAGCTTGTCATTCTCTTTGCGCACATCACCCTTGTAAGAGCCATGGGTGGAGTCATACTTGAACATGTAGACCTAAGAGGCAGGTTCAATGATATTGCTCAGTGTGCACGGTTTTAATCAGCGGGCGCACATTTGAACTGAATAACAGGCACGATAAGGCAAGCCTTAGAGTGTTCTATGCTTTAGCAGAGTTCCATATATGCTAGTTACACCCACATGGGCCAAAACACATTTCATTCTCTCACCATGTAGTCCAGGTCGATGAAGGGGTCATTTATGGCCACAACCTTGATTTTCTTCTGAAGGCAGGCCCTCAACACAAGGCGACCAATACGACCGAAGCTACAAAAAAAAAAAAAGAAAAAAGACAAAGACATTCTTAGTTTTCTTTCACAGTCATTCCTAGAATGGAAGATGAAAATGCATTCCAATGCATCTTGTAACAGTGTGCCTCAAACAATTCGTGTTCCCTCACTTTTCGCAGGTGATTGGTTTTATGCCCCCTAGCAATTTGTGATTTCTGTGAAGTCGAGGTTAAATTTTTGTGTCTGAGATTTACGCTTCAATTAATACATTTGGTTGATTAATACGCCTTTTACATCGTTGTTGTGCAAAGCTCAAGTTTGCTGCCATCACTACTGTTGCTTCCTCGTCATTGTGTTTTAAAGAAGAAGCACTTCAGCCGGAAGTAGTCATGGCAACTAACTTTCGCATAAAAGGCGCATAAATCCACTAGGATTGTACCTTTGGCTACAATGTGACACGGGATATAAAGAAACATTTAAACATAGTTATCAGTTGATGAGTCATCGTCCTCGTCGACTGTAGGGATGAACATGCGCACTCTGCTCACGTTAATTTCTGAAGATGCAGCCGTTTACTTGTACTGCCTGCACTGGACTCCGTTTTTTTGGGGCACTCTGAAGAATTGAACGGCACATTTGAACATTGTTCTGACTTTCTGAATGGTCCGAGTGACGCAGCGCGCTCACAGCGCATTTTGCATTGGGGTCACCAACGAAAACCAGCGACAGTGTAAAGGCCGCGAAGTAGCGAGGGAACATTGTACAACAAAATTCACAGACCAGCTACAATTAAGGCAACCGAAACACATTTTGATGACATTCGGACTTTTCTTCTAACAACTGCCGAATGCATGAACCATGATGCAACCTACAACATCCTTAAACCAAATGTGTGTTTCTAACGCACCCGTTGATTCCAACACAGAGCTCTGGCATGGTTGCTGTTTCTCAGGGGGTAGGTACTGGGTTACCTGGAAAGAAGAATAAAACCAACGTAAGGCTTGATAACAAAAACTTTGTGCTATGCAGCAACTTGAGATTACAGCAAAGACATCTCTCGTTGTGTATGTGATCTACTGAATGCGAAAACCCAAGTAAAATACTCAAATTGGACCACAAGGTGACATGTCTTCATCTCAGGAAGTTGAATGTGAGGGAGTGTTTCAGTGCAGTGTCGGAAAAGTACAGGTTTTGAACTGTACCATAAGCAGTGGTATTGTGTCGTGCATTGACATGTTTAGAAAACAATGGTGGCGATGAGAAGGCAGGGAAAAATGCAGGGAAGGAGGTTGAAATCGGACACTGCAAACAGATCAAACCAGACACGAAAGCTGGCATGCATTCAGCTATGTGATCCTCCTTCTCCAGGGCTGGGCTTTTTATTTTTTTGTCTCCTTTCATTTGGGCTGTGTGTGATGAACCAGGGGAGAGGCATACAGACCTCACGTCCTGTGCCCTGTTAGTTATGCCTTTCTCTTTCCACTTCAATTGTGCCATTGGTTGGCTCTCATTCAACACACAGTGAGCGTGTTACTAGACTTGCTCTGCATTAGAAAACTTCAAATGTTGAAATGTTTAAAAAGGCAGATTTATTTCGGAAACTTCCAAAGCCAGTGGCATTAATGTGTGTTCGCATGGTGAGCTCAAGTAACTCGAGGCACTGCGGGTTGTCCTTGACACTGCTTGGATGTCATTTTGGACTGCTATAATCTCCTTAACTGTTGTGTGCCTATAAGTGGGTGTCATTCAGGTTAGACAAGCTATCAACTGGTAAACTCATTAGAGGTGCACTTAAAATAAAAAGATGGGATAAAACATACTTGAACAATGTTTTGTGTCACTTAAAATAATGGTTAAAAAAATAAATAAATAACACCAAGGTTACTTGTGAAGAGTACATGTGTTAGAAGTACTCCGTTTGATCCGGTTTAATTGAAACCTGTCCGCCATTTTGTGTGGTGTTGCTCTTTCTAACAAGGTCAGAAAAGGATACAAGCCAATGTGACTCCATGCTCCCTCCTTTCTCCTCTAGTTACATCACCTTTTGTTTGTATAGAAAAAATCACCTCCAGTCTTGACGTTTCCTTCCTTTGCTGGCCCTGCCTTAGATATTATAAGACTAGCTTTCTAAAACAAAATGGCTCCTTTGCAGATAAATCAACGGCATTTGCAACCCGGATTAGAAAAATTAGTCAGTCTTTCAGAAATTAGGTTTTAGCAACATCTAAAAGGGCATGAGCTCAACTTTCCAATGGTTTATCAAGCATTGCACGAAGCTGTTCAAAACATTACAAAAAAGGGATACAAGATGGCGGACAGTGCGCCAGTGTGTGCGACGACGCTCCTGTCATTTCGGCTTTTTTTTTTTTTTTTTACTACTTGCAATTACTATTGGTCTTTACATAATTACCACAGATATGAATAGGTAGCCTCGAGTGACGCTAAGCTGGGGGGTGGTGTAACCATTCATGGGTGAAAAATGTAGTTTTGGGGCTTTTATCCAAATGATAAATATTGACAGCACATGCTTTGGTGTTTGGAGGGAAAGTGAAAAACACACCTCATGGAAATCAGTTGAGAAATGTGCCATGAGAGTACAGCTGCAACAACCCAAGTAGATGCTGTGTCGTTAAAATCGGAGTACAGTATTATGCTCTCTCACGTGCAAATGCCAATGGGTATGTGATCTGAAATTTAGTTTGAACAGTACTGCAGTAGTTAAAGTAATATGAAAACTTCAATTTACACTTTGAATTCAATCAAATGACAAACAGACTGATCCAGTATTCAGGACACACTCTCTCACATCCACACATTACATCAGACAGTGTACAGAGGCTGCATTGTGCCTAGCGGACTAGTCAAGTCAAATGTTGTGAGCAGCAGCTTAAAATCTGCTAGTGCTCATTAAATGGAGAGGGGGAGGCGGACACTGATTCTCTAATGGTCCCGTAGCCAAACAACTACTGCAAGTACAGAACGGGCCATCACAAGGACACAATGTCTTTTCTGTTCTGTTCTTTTCTCTTCCTCCAACTACTTGTCTCAGGTTGTCATTTCTGTTTCATCATTTTAATTATTACAATTCAGCACCTAACTTCCATTATGCTACAGTATTTTTTTTCTTTTTACTGTTCTTTTGTCAGCCCTGTCCACCTCCTTTGGCACACATTGCCCTCCCTCCGAGCTGTGACCCATTTAGTGAGGATAATGGGTGAGAGTCGGAGGGGCCATGGCTGGGAAAAAGGCTCTAGGCTAAATAACACTCTTCCATTTTCTGTTGGAAGTGGGGGGGGGGGGGGGACAACGAAAAACTCGTCAAC